CGAACACTTCCCCCCCGATAAGCAAGACTTAGCACCACCCCACATACGCAGCCTTTAAGGGTTTAAGAGGGTTTAAAATTCGGTCTTACATACATATTTGTTCTTGAAACTTAAGAACACTTACCCCCCGATAAGCAAGACTTAGAACCACCCCACATACGCGGCCTTTAAGGGTTCAGGGGGGTTTAAAATTCAGTGTTACATATATATTTGCTTTTTGAAACTTAAGAACACTTACACCCGGATAAGCAAGACTTGGAACCTGCAGACAACAACAAACACGTCTGTCGCAAAACCCCGGCCGTTGATGCATAGCCTCCGTAATGGGGTATGTCGCGTGTGCGGGCCGCGGCCCTGTTACAAGCAATCAATATTGGCACGCGGCCATATGTATGTCCTAGAAGTTACAGCACATGTAAAAAGAATATGATATGTTTCATGTTGTTGTAATAGTTTAAGCACAAACACGGTGGACCGATAACAGTACCACCATGTCGTCTGTGCTGTTTAGTGTGCAGTTGGCGAGATAACAATACACAAACAAGAGAGGGGGAGACGGTGGACCGAAAGCAGTACCACCGTGTTCAGGGACCGAAAACAGTACCCCGCTTTCCCGGAGACCGAAAACAGTACTCCGAGTTGAGTTAACACTGCATTCACTGTAGGCTCCGCGCATTCGATGGTGAGAATCAAAAGCGACCATACCTGACGCCAGACTTTATTTTAATATTAACGTAAAAAAGCGCGCTGTAGAGTTCAAATCATTATACCTTCCGGTCCCTATAGGGTTTTAAGCTACTAACCCTAAAGAGTCTAAATAATTCAAATCCAGATTTAAATGATTTAAGATATTTGAATTATTTAAATTATTTGAGTTTGTGAAATTTTTTAAATTATTTAAATGGTTTCGGCTCGGAGAAATTCTCGACCTATTTAAATTCTTTAAATTATTTAAATTCACGCGCCTCGAAACTAATTTAAATAATTTAAATCCCGAATTAAATTATTTAAATTCACGGGCCTCGAAACTAATTTAAATAATTCAAATCCCGATTAAAATTATTTAAATTCTTTTCCGAGCCCGTCAATTTAAATAATTTAAATAATCTAAATAATTCAAATAGAATGAGGATTTCTCGGAACCCAGACCATTTAGATAATTTAGATCGGAACCCAGACCATTTAGATAATTTAGATGATTTAAATAATTTAAATAATTTAAATAATTTAAATCCTGATTTGAATTATTTAAATTAGTTTCGAGGCCCGTGAATTTAAATAATTTAATTCTGTATTTAAATTAGTTAAATTAGTTTCCGGGCCCGCGAATTTAAATAATTTAAATCTCGAATTAAATAATTTAAATTCGCGGGCCTCAAAACTAATTTAAATAATTCAAATCGCGATTTAAATTATTTGAATTCTTTTCCGAGCCCGTGAATTTAAATAATTTAAATAATGTAAATAATTCAAATCGAATGAGGATTTCTCCGAACCCAGACCATTTAGATAATTTAAATATTTTAAATAATTTAAATATTTTAAATCCTGATTTGAATTATTTAAATTAGTTTCAAGGCCCGGGAATTTAAATAATTTAATTCTGTATTTAAATTAGTTAAATTAGTTTCCGGGCCCGCGAATTTAAATAATTTAAATCTCGAATTAAATTATTTAAATTCGCGGGCCTCAAAACTAATTTAAATAATTTAATTCGGGATTTAAATTATTTAAATTAGTTTCCGGGCCCGCGAATTTAAATAATTTAAAGAATCTAAATAGATCCAGATTTTCTCCCAGCACAGACCATTTAACTAATTTAACGAATTTAAATAATTTATATAATTTACATCGGGATTTGAATTATTTCAATTAGTTTGGAGGCCCGCGAATTTAAATAATTTAATTCTGTATTTAAATTAGTTAAATTAGTTTCCGGGCCCGCGAATTTAAATAATTTAAATCTCGAATTAAATTATTTAAATTCGCGGGCCTCAAAACTAATTTAAATAATTTAATTCGGGATTTACATTATTTAAATTGTTTCGGGCCCGCGAATTTAAATATTTAAAGAATCTAAATAGATCAGATTTTTTCCCAGCACAGACATTTAACTATTTAAATAATTTAAATAATTTAAATATTTTAAATCCTGATTTGAATTATTTAAATTAGTTTCAAGGCCCGGGAATTTAAATAATTTAATTCTGTATTTAAATTAGTTAAATTAGTTTCCGGGCCCGCGAATTTAAATAATTTAAATCTCGAATTAAATTATTTAAATTCGCGGGCCTCAAAACTAATTTAAATAATTTAATTCGGGGATTTACATTATTTAAATTAGTTTCCGGGCCCGCGAATTTAAACAATTTAAAGAATCTAAATAGATCCAGATTTTCTCCCAGCACAGACCATTTAACTAATTTAAATAATTTAAATAATTTAAATAATTTAAATCGGGATTTGAATTATTTAAATTAGTTTGGAGGCCCGCGAATTTAAATAATTTAATTCTGTATTTAAATTAGTTAAATTAGTTTCCGGGCCCGCGAATTTAAATAATTTAAATCTCGAATTAAATTATTTAAATTCGCGGGCCTCAAAACTAATTTAAATAATTTAATTCGAGATTTAAATTATTTAAATTAGTTTCCGGGCCCGCGAATTTAAATAATTTAAAGAATCTAAATAGATCCAGATTTTCTCCCAGCACAGACCATTTAACTAATTTAAATAATTTAAATAATTTAAATAATTTAAATCGGGATTTGAATTATTTAAATTAGTTTGGAGGCCCGCGAATTTAAATAATTTAATTCGGTATTTAAATTCGTTAAATTCGTTTCCGGGCCCGCGAATTTAAATAATTTAAATCTCGAATTAAATTATTTAAATTCGCGGGCCTCCAAACTAATTTAAATAATTCAAATCCCGATTTAAATTATAAAAATTATTTAAATTATTTAAATTAGTTAAATGGTCTGTGCTGGGAGAAAATCTGGATCTATTTAGATTCTTTAAATTATTTAAATTCGCGGGCCCGGAAACTAATTTAAATAATTTAAATCCCGAATTAAATTATTTAAATTCGCGGGCCTCGAAACTAATTTAAATAATTTATTTCGGGATTTAAATTATTTAAATTCTTTTCCGGGCCCGCGAATTTAAATAATTTAAATAATTCAAATAGAATGAGGATTTCTCCGAACCCAGACCATTTAGATAATTTACATAATTTAAATAATGTAAATCGGGATTTGAATTATTTAAATTAGTTTGGAGGCCCGCGAATTTAAATAATTTAATTCGGTATTTAAATTAGTTAAATTCGTTTCCGGACCCGCGAATTTAAATAATTTAAATCTCGAATTAAATTATTTAAATTCGCGGGCCTCCAAACTAATTTAAATAATTCAAATCCCGATTTAAATTATTTAAATTATTTAAATTATTTAAATTAGTTAAATGGTCTGTGCTGGGAGAAAATCTGGATCTATTTAGATTCTTTAAATTATTTAAATTCGCGGGCCCGGAAACTAATTTAAATAATTTAAATCCCGAATTAAATTATTGAAATTCGCGGGCCTCGAAACTAATTTAAATACTTTAATTCGGGATTTAAATTATTTAAATTCTTTTCCGGGCCCGCGAATTTACATAATTTAAATAATTCAAATAGAATGAGGATTTCTCCGAACCCAGACCATTTAGATAATTTAAATAATTTAAATAATTTAAATAATTTAAATCGGGATTTGAATTATTTAAATTAGTTTGGAGGCCCGCGAATTTAAATAATTTAATTCGAGATTTAAATTGTTTAAATTCGCGGGCCCGGAAACTAATTTAACTAATTTAAATACCGAATTAAATTATTTAAATTCGCGGGCCTCCAAACTAATTTAAATAATTCAAATCCTGATTTAAATTATTTAAATTATTTAAATTAGTTAAATGGTCTGTGCTGGGAGAAAATCTGGATCTATTTAGATTCTTTAAATTATTTAAATTCGCGGGCCCGGAAACTAATTTAAATAATTTAAATCCCGAATTAAATTATTTAAATTCGCGGGCCTCGAAACTAATTTAAATAATTCAAATCTCGATTTAAATTATTTAAATTCTTTTCCGAGCCCGTGAATTTAAATAATTTAAATAATTTAAATAATTCAAATAGAATGAGGATTTCTCCGAACCCAGACCATTTAGATAATTTAAATAATTAAAATAATTTAAATAATGTAAATCCTGATTTAAATTATTTAAATTAGTTTCGAGGCCCGTGAATTTAAATAGTTTAATTCGGTATTTAAATTAGTTAAATTAGTTTCCGGGCCCGCGAATTTAAATAATTTAAATCTCGAATTAAATTATTTAAATTCGCGGGCCTCAAAACTAATTCAAATAATTCAAATCCGGATTTAAATTATTTAAATTATTTAATTTATTTAAATTAGTTAAATGGTCTGTGCTGGGAGAAAATCTGGATCTATTTAGATTCTTTAAATTATTTAAATTCGCGGGCCCGGAAACTAATTTAAATAATTTAAATCCCGAATTAAATTATTTAAATTAGTTTTGAGGCCCGCGAATTTAAATAATTTAATTCGAGATTTAAATTATTTAAATTCGCGGGCCCGGAAACTAATTTAACTAATTTAAATACAGAGTTAAATTATTTAAATTCCCGAGCCTCAAAACTAATTTAAATAATTCAAATCATTTAATTCTTCCATACGTTCTCTATACATATAGAAAAACAGGTAGCAACATAGTACATAAAGGTCCCTCTCTCATATATATATATATATTGTATTATTTATATTCTATTCTATTCTATTCTATTCTATTCTATTCTATTGTATTATATTATATATATATGTATATATATATATATATGCATACCCCTAGTACGGCCCTTAGGTTCCCTTCGAGGGCCTTTCAAGAGTGTCCCCAAACCCCAAAACCCCCAAGACCGTAGAAGCCCCTGCAAAATTGAGGCTCTCCATGCTGCTGGAGAAGAGGCTCAGCCTCTTCCAGAAGTGGTACGGCCCACTGCGCGAGGCGCAACGGCTCAGGGTGCATAGGTCTACTCGGATGCCCGGTAGTACCCTCATTCCCTTTGTGGGGTTTAGGCTTCCTGCCTCTTTTAAGAGGAACAAAAGGGGCACTCTTTTTATTCCTAGGTTACTGGGCAACCTGGTCTATACTACAGTTCTTGGTGATGAGGAAGGTTGAGAGCTGAGATGGAGAGTTTAGGGTCAAGTGGGCAAGGCTTAGGGGTGACATCAAAACAGGGGTCTATCTACATTTTGAGTAGGGTCTCTGATTTATAGGGTTCGGAGATTCGTCTTCGAGTTGCTTGCATAAAAATTCTTGGAATGGTTCCAGGGGGAGTATAGTACAGGGTTTGATAGGGGCCGTTTTCAGGGGTTTGGGGGTCTAGGGCTCATGGGATTTATGCAGGGCTATAGGATCCTGAGCCCTACTTGACAAGCCCATTAGGGTTTAGGGTTCAGGATTAGGGTTTAGGGGTTATGGTTTAAGGTTTAAGGTTAGGGTTTAGGGATTAGGGATTGGCTAGGGTTTAGGGATTAGGGATTAGGGTTTGGGGTTTGGGGTTTGGGGTTTGGGGTTTGGTGTTGGGGGGGGGGGGGGGGGGGAGGCATGAATGAGAGCACCAGCAGAGCACTCAGCAGGTGCTCTTCATGTGCATCCTGGCGCCCTTCTTCATCCGGGGCGAGGCGTGGGAGCCCCCCTGAAGGGCTTAGGGTTTAGGGTCTAGGGTTTAGGGTTTAGGGTCTAGGGCTTAGGGTTGAGGGTTTAGGGTTTAGGGTTTGGGGTTGAGGGTTTAGGCTTCAGGGTTTAGGACCTTCAACGCTCCTGAAGCAAAAAGCTTTTAGCATGACTCAACCCGAATGTAGGATTTGCTTAAGGAGCCCTAACAAATTCAGACTAGCCAAAAGAAAGGCAGTTACGACTAGAATGGTCTGGCTGATTTTGTAAGGTTCCTTTGTCTCATAGGTGGCTCATCCTAATAAACCCTGCACCCCAAACACTGAAACTTCAACTTTCGACCCCAACGCCAGTTCGAGACGCTGCTCCGTGAAAGCTATGTCGGGTTGGACTTGATGTGGAGGATGCGAGGCAGCTGATTGATAGTCTTCCGTCACGCCTGCAGATCCCAGAACTCCCACCAGCGCCGGACAGTGACGGGCTCCGCCAGTTCGTCAGTTGGTGCAGACAACTGATTCAGAGTGGTCTGGCGAACCCGGATTAGACCTGGCTTCCTGCTATTGACGAACATGGAAAGCATGGTTTAGGGTTTAGGGGGCATCTATCGGGAAGATAAGCTACAGCAACTGGGCTTATAGCTAACATCCTTCAAGAAAGGGCAGGAAGGGCCCCGCAGCCCAAGGGCAAAAACACAAGGCCCCTCCCCTTGATAGCTTGGTCCAAGAGGCGCGGAGTGGAGTTTAGGGTTTGCAAGCCCTAAACCCTAAACCCCAAACCCCAAACCCTAAACCTTAAACCCTAAGCCCTAAACCTTAAACCCTGGGGCTTTGCTGCTTTAGGGTTTTAGGGTTTGAGGTTTTGGTGTTTTGCGGCTGTGGGATGCTTTGGGGTTGTAGGGTTGTAGGGTTTAGGGTTTATAGGGTTTAGGGTCTAGGGTTTAGGGTCTAGGGTTTAGGGTTTAGGGTTTGGGGTTTAGGGTTTTTGGGCTTTAGGTGGGACTTTGGTGCTCACACTGCTAAGCCCAAGCTCCGAAACCCCCAAGGATCAGGCTTTGGGGTTTCGGCCGCCCCAGATCCGAGTTCTGTGTATGAGCTTCAAGCCCTAGAAGCCCTAACCCCTGCGAATCTCCAACCCGATAAACCTCTCGCCGCCCCCCCCCCCCCACCCTAAACCCTAACCCTAAACCCTAAACCCTAAACCCTAAACCCTAAACCCTAAACCCTAAACCCTAAACCCTAAACCCTAAACCCTAAACCCTAAACCCAAAAAAAAAAAGAACCACAGGTAAGCCTCGGCAGGCTGAAGCAGTGTGAGACAGCCCTGGACAGGACCGTTGAGCAACAGAAGCGAGGGGTTGTGGGTGTAGTTCTTCGCATGCTGGATGAATGTTCAATACCGAATGCTCCCCCCGAATCAGTTTAGGGTTTAGGGTGTAGGGTTTAGGGTTTAGGGTTTAGGGTTTAGGGTTTAGGGTTTAGGGCACGACATTTTTTCAGCAGAAGCAAACTCCATGATGCACCGAAGTGGGAGAGCCCAGATCCACGTGATATGCTATCAGATTTGCTACCGAAGTCGAAGTGTCCCGTGAAATGCGAGCCATATGTGCTTCTGCTTTTCCTGGAACTGATTGGCAAGCAGGTGTTTCCCTTGCAAAGGACCACAAAGCCGAGTTGTGCGTCGATCCTCGTTTCCTCACGCGCCGATTTTCACCAGTCAGATATCTGCTTCTCAATATGACGTATTGAGGGTTTAGGGTTTAGGGTTAATTCCTGGCTTCAGAACTACCGACTGGACATGGAATATCTGAGCGTCCGGATGCTTGCTCATGACAGAATTCACGACTTCTAGGATGCCCATTAGTACCCTTGTTTCCTTTTTTTGTGGGGGGGGGGGGGGGTTCGGTTCCCATACTAAACCCCTTTAAGCAAAAACGAGCGCACCCTTTCTTCATCCTGGGTTGCTGGGCAACCTAGACGTCTCTAAAGCAGCTCATCTCCCCGCTGTGCGAGGATCAGCGATGCTCTGAGCTTCCTGGTGCGGGGTGGGAAGGGCTGGGCTCGCAGGATTCGCCCTAAACCCTTAACCCTAAACCCTAAAACCCCAGAAGCCCTAAACCCTAGAAGCCCTAAACCCTAAAATGTCCTGGAACAACCCTCTGGTGTGTCAAAGCCTCCGGCACAGGCTTTCTATAGCAGTTAGAAAGGGGTATTTTTAGCCTGGTTGGGAGGGGCTTTTTGCATCAGAGTCGGCGCACAGGTACTTGGAGGTTCAGGGGTACTCGTAAATGGGGTTATAAGTACCCTACATAGGGTTGTATCCATCAAAACAATAATTTTCCTACCTCATTATCAATGCCCATGAGCCTCCAAGTAGGGGGCTTTAGGGTTTAAGGTGTAGGAAGCCTTTTCGCCGCCAGGTCGACAACTACTCCAAGCTGTCAAGCCACTAGGAACCCCAACTGGTACCCGTTTTCCTTTTGCTCATTGGGGTCAAATTTCCTTCTAAGCCCCCTTCAACAACCAAAAAGGCACCCGTACACCCTAAACCCTAAACCCCAAACCCTAAACCCTGAACCCTAAACCCTAAACCCTAAACCCTAAACCAAAGGAACTGTGGGGGAACCTAGGTTATCGGGCGACTGTAGACCGTCTCCACAACTTCCGTGGCAGCTGCTTGACCTACCTCTCCCCCCAGAAGCTGGCCGAGGAGATTGTTCGGGTTTAGGGTTTAGGGTTTAGGGTTTAGGGTTCAGGGTTCAGGGTTCAGGGTTCAGGGTTCAGGGTTCAGGGTTCAGGGTTAGGGTTTAGGGTGTTTTTCCCAAATAGGAGCACCCCGAATGCACGCCGCAAAAAGCTAGAATTCTTGACCATGGAACCCCCGAAACTCAAAAAAATGTAAGAATCGCAGATGACCATTTTGTATTCTACCTCGACCCCCTCCCTCCTCCCAACGCACATGTAGTAGGTCACTATACCAAAAGAAAACAGGTAATTCCCACGGCAGAGGAACCAAAAATCAGAGGTCCTGGGTAGGTTTGGAGGTGTTTTTTGGCAGCTTGGGGGCTTCGAGGAGGACGAGACGAAGGGTGCTCTGGATGCCGACGTCATCGAGCGCTTGGCGGCCCGGGGAATTCCGCCTACCTGGCCCCGGCTGTTGGGCGGCATGGAGTTCAAGGAAGCGCCCGTGCCTCGGGGGCGCAAGCAGAGCAGTCTGTCCCTAAACCCTATACCCTAAACCCGAAACCCTATACCCTGAACCCTACACCCAACCCGACACCTCCAACCCGAAGCGCGGCGAGGTGCTCCCCCCACCGCGCGCAGCTCGCGCGTCGGCCCTCTGCCTGCATGCGGAGGGCCTCCGGCTGCCCTCCGGAAGGGCCCTCTTTGGGGAAGTGCACCTCGAGGTGGCTCCAGGTGGGAGTGCTTGTTTAGTGGTTTGGGGGTTTAAGGTTTAGGGTTTGGGGTTTAGGGTTTAGGGTTTAGGGTTTAGGGTTTAGGGTTTAGGGTTTCAAGCCTTTGGCATTCCGGTGCCTTAGTGGGGCTGTCATTTCAGATCCTTGTTCTGCAGAGACTCTAGTGATTACTGGCTAGACGACCGAGCCGTACGTTGCTGAAGGTGTGCCTTCGAAAGAACCCCAAATCCCAATACCCTAAAACCCTGAAACCTTCAAACCCTAGACCCTAAAACTCTAGAACCATAGAACCCCAAACCCTAAACTCTATAACCCACATTGTGGGCGTTGGTCTAGCAATATAGCCCAAATCTGTTGAGACTTAAGCTTGCTTCGAAGCATATGCATACATTTTTGGAGTTCCATCATGCGAGAATCGTGTTTGCCAATTGGGGGGGACTGCAACTTCCCCAACCCACCCCCCCCTCCCCCCCCTCGGCTCTTTTTGAAGCCGCGCAACCTTTTGAAACCCGTCAATCAGCTCCTGCGTTTGCCCTTTCTTAGAGCCCGGGCTGGCAAGCAGGAGCCTTCATAGGGAGTTCGAGGCCGGCTCGTCAGCGCCTGCTTGCGTCAGCACTAGAGCACCGCAGCAATGAGACTCCGACAAATGCCTGGCCGTGGGACGCATGCTTACGCTCTGGGGATCCTGGCTTAGAGCAACACCCACTTTTCGGGGTTGAGGGGAGGGTTTAGTGGTGCAGGTTCAGTTGGTTCACAGCCTGAGGACGATCATGATGCGAACACCCGGGCCCCAGACCGCTGAATGAGCAGGCTTCACTACTTGTGGAGCTGGCGCAGACGCAGCCGTCGGCCAAGGTGTTAGGGGGTTCTGGGATGTCGCCTTCTTAGTCGTATTTTGTCCGCGGTCTTTGGTTTTAACAAAGAAAACGTATGCCTCTGCCAAGCCCTTGAGCTCTTGACAACCTTTGAAGATCAGGAGACGTTGCGCCCGCGCCTTATCCATGGGCAGCAATAAAACAGCCACGATCTTGCTACCGCGTTGCTGAAGGCGCCACCAAATTTCTACGACAGGAGAACTGCTGATAGCCCTAACCTTGAGCCCAGGGTCGCTAACCCTCCTACCCAGCTAAACCAGTTGCATGGCGAAAATGGCCATGTGCGCAACGCAAGTGTCCAGAACAGCAAAAAAGACATCTGCACCTCTTTTGCCACTTGTTAGACACAAGGCCAACTGGCGGAAATCACGCAACGCAGACGTGCAGACGAGAGAGAGTAGACCAGGATATTAACAGTTTGCAAGCGGCAGTCTTCTGTTGCGCCACTCACCCTGCCTTGCACAATTGTCTACCCTGATGGCTGACGCGAAGAACTGTTGATGCGGCCCATCAACCCGTCATCATGGGGCTCAAGCATCCTCAAGCATTTGTGCGGACGGAGCGCGCCTGACGACCAGGTTCATCGCCAAGGCCTTTTGGGGAGTCTCCTGGATATGAGTGACCTTCACACGGTGCATCTGCAATCGCAATGATCAGACACACACATCTGCCAAGAGTGTGCGGCGCTTTTGGGGAGACCTGCGCTCCTTTGAACTTCAAGCCAGTTCAGAAGATCTCAAAACTTTCAGCCTCCCAGCATCATCACATCCACCTCGAGTATCCTAGCAACCCAGCGAGTTCTATTTCTACCCCCCATGTCCAGACAGCCCCTGTACCAGGAACTGCTGGCGCGCCCCGCCCTGCAGGGGCTTGCTCTTAACCCGAGATTCCGGTGCCTGCGTGCATTAGTCTGAGAAGTTGAATGGAGATGTTTTTGTCAAGCAGCGACCCGGTGCCGAGTGAAGGGGGGCCGCAGCTTGCGGCCACGGCGTCGAGAGCTCCATGTCAACATCAGACTAATTACCCCCTCCGCCCCCAAAAAGCAAACAAAGTTAGGACCGCCCCAAGTCCAAGTCCGCGTGCAATCCGCAGACTTGTCTGGCCAAGGTAGAAATCCCCATCGGCGCCTGGAATATTTCTTGGACTGTTTGTCCGAGCTGAGCATCGACATTGGTTCCCTTCAGCAGGTTTCCATTTCGTGCGGACGTGTGTGTTCTTTGATCATGTCTGGTGTGCGCAAGGTGTCTTTCTTGGTCATGTGTCGATCGCTCCGTCCATCCCAGGGCGAGTTTAGTAGAGTTCCCTTGGAACACCATCCTTTCATGTGCGTGCGTCTGGCTAGCGCAAGATAAGCCAAACAGACAACTCCACGGCGCGCAGTTTTTGGTGCTTTTAGGATGATGTGTTCAGCCTCATCGCGGTCAGATTTTCAGCGCGGTCAGATTTTCAATTTGGGTTTTTCGCTTTTCACCATATTCGATTTTCATACTTTCTTGAGGTCGAAAGGGAGCGTCTCCACATAGTACTCGTCTTTTGCACGCTTTCAGGGTGAGACTCATCGTGGTCATATTTGCTTTAATGGGGGAGGTGAAGGGGCCTCAAACAATGGTGGCACTACATCGACCGTTTAGTCATCATGGGTTGAAATGGCTGGGGGTACTGCTGTGATATCGTCTGCGACCTCTTTGACGACCTCTTCTACAGCGACCTCGCCTACATCGACCTCGTCTACAACCTCTTTAGGTTGTACACATCGTCGTCACCTACGGAAAGGAAGATTGAAATAAGGGGGGGGCATCAATGAACAAGCTGTGCTGACATCCTTCCCTTCGAGCTCTTCGTGTAACGTGTGAACAAGAAGTGGATGGGGAGGTGGTACAAAATTCAAAGGAGGAGAACAGTACAGTATGATGAGGTGGTGGAGGTTGAGCTGGGGGGTTGAAGGGTGGCACTTTGACTGGCGTGCTCCTCCTCTTGCCTGGTGGTGGTCTGGCGGCCTGGCGATGATGAAGGGGAGGTGGATTCTGGGGGTGGGATGAAATTCAACCTTGGGGTGCTCCTGGGGGTGTTCAAGGGTGGGTCGTGGTGGAAACGTGAGAGGAGGTTTCACTCTGGAGGATACCCTGATCAGCCCGCCTTGGTGATTCCAGATTATAAAAAAAGCCATAACCCTAAAACCTAAACCCTAGACTCTCCCTAGAACCCCAAACCCTAAACTAATAAAGCCCTAAAACCCTAAGCCCCATAGCCGCCCCTGCAGGTGAGATGGTCCTTGTTTGCGGAGAGGAGGGCTCAGGCAAGTCCACCATCCTCAAGGCTCTCGCCGGCATGTGGCCGCTGGGCAGCGCCGGTTCTGGGGGGTAGAGGGGTTTAAGGGGGGTTTAAGGGGGGTTAAGGGGGGTTTCAAGGGGGGTTAAGGGGGGTTTAAGGGGGGTCTAAGGAGGGTTTAGGGAGGGTTTAGGGTTCAGGCTTAGAGGGTTTAGAGGCTTTAAAACAGAGGTTTTACAGGTTTTGGGGGTTAGGAAGGTTTAGAGGGTTGGGTTGATAGGGTTTATAGGGCTTGCTGGGTTTAGGGTGTTTAGGGTTTCGCGCTTGCAACAGGATGCATGGATTGCCCTGCCTAACATGAATCTCAACACCAGACCTAGAACCCTAAACCCCTAAACCCCTAAACCCCTAAACCCCTAAACCCCTAAACCCCTAAACCCCTAAACCCCTAAACCCTAAACCCTAAACCCTAAACCCTAAACCCTAAACCCTAAACCCTAAACCCTACCCCTGGACCCTAGTATCAGGGTTTGGGGTTTTGGGTTTTTGCCCTCACAAGGCGTTCACAGCCGAGGCCATACATGGACCCTCGAGATGGGACAGTGAGTCAGGAAGATCCTTGGGGACGAGACCCTAAACCCTAAACCCTAAACCCTAAACCCTAAACCCTAAACCCTAAACCCTAAACCCTAAACCCTAAACCCTAAACCCTAAACCCTAAACCCTAAACCCTAAACCCCTAAACCCTAAACCCTAAACCCTAAACCCTAAATAAACCCCTGGTTCTTAGTAGGGAATGGGGGAATGAGGTACGCTATATAATCCCTTAAAGGGTATATATCAGGGGATATAGGGTACCTCATTCCCTCATTCCCTACTGAGAACCAGCCAGATGAACCCTGCAAGGGTTTGGGGTTTAGGGTTCCTAGGTAGACCCCTAAACCCTACATCCTAAACCCTAAACCTTGAACCCTAAACCCTAAACCCTAAGCCCTTAGGACATTTTCATATTTTCCCTGATTGGGTTTAAGAGGATCATACTCAGGAATATTTTTCAGAGTGTTAAGGGCCATCCTGGGTTTAGGGTTTTGGGTTTTGGGCTTAGGGATTAGGATTTAGGGTTTAGGTTTTTTTTGGTTTAGGGTGTAACATGTAGGTTTTAGGGTTTAGGGCAAAAACCTTCATAGGAAATATGGCAGCATTAGGGTACATGACCCCAATTTTGGGGTTCAGTTGGTCCCCAAGGATGTGGTGCTGCTTCCCCAGAAGCCACGCTTGCCTCTTGGCACTTTCTTTACGTTTTTTGGCCCCAAGCAAAAGCACAACAGCAAAAAACACAGTCATCTCTCATCCCTATATCCTAAACTCACCCTAAACCCTAGCCCTAAACCCTAAACCCTGTATAAACCCTAAACCGCAGGCCCATGCCCATGTCTCTACACGAAGCCGTCGCCTTCCCCCATGGAGCCGACCGCTACACCGAAGAGGACTTGCTGGTCGTTGTCAAGGTTTAGGGTTCAGGGTTGAGGGTTTAGGGTTTAGGATTTAGGGTTGAGGGTTTATATGGTTTAGGGTTTAGGGTTTCTTTCTATCCCGCTTCTATCCCCCTACGTATATGCCCTTTAAGGGGTTTCATCGGGTACCTACTTGCCTCATTCTCTGGCAAGAAACCGTCAGAGGCGGTTCGGGCCGCACTGGAGCGTGTGGGACTGGCAGAGCTGCTGACGAAAGGTCTCGCAGCTCGGATCTGCTTGTTTTTTTTGTGCACCCCTCGATTTACTTTAGGGTTTAGGGTTTAGGGTTTAGGGTTTAGGGTTTAGGGTTTAGGGTTTAGGGTTTAGGGTTTAGGGTTTAGGGTTTAGGGAATCCCAAACTTTCAGGGGCTTAGACTTTGGGTTCCAAGCTGGCGCATCCTTGAACTCTCAGATGCCAGGGTTTAGGGTTTAGGGTTCAGGGTTTAGGGTTTAGGGTTTAGGGTTTAGGGTAATTTAGGGAGGCTACGCAGCTGGATGTGAACAGCACCCTGTCCGGTGGAGAGTTCCAGCGGCTGCTTGTGGCTCTATTCCTCTTTGGGAATATGTTTTTTATAATATTTTGTTCATATAAAACCCAAGAAGATATTATTCCTTTTTTATTTGAAGGTTCTAAGGGGAGTATAGGTGGCCCACTGCCTGCTTGCTAGACCCTCCTGGGTGCTGCTGGATGAGTCCATGGCCCACATGTCTGCTGCCAGCCGCGCGGAGCTCTATGAGCTTCTTGCAGACCAGCTGGTCAAAGGCCTCCCTACATCTGAAGCCCCCCAAGTCATGGAAACCCAAAGAAGCCTGAAACTGCTGCAAACACCCTAAACCCTAAACCCTAAACCCTAAACCCTGAACCCTGAACCCTGAAGCCTTGCGCGTCCGCAGGCGGCACCGGGGTTGTCAGCACATGCCATAACCATCAAGAGCTCGCCTGCTTCCACGACCGCTTCTACCGCGTCGAGGATGCCAGCAAATGCCTTGCGACTCTCGGGTTTAGGGTTTAGGGTTTAGGGTTTAGGGATACAACTTCTACTCGCTCACAAAATCCCAAACCCTGAACCCTATAGAGCGCAAACCTTCCGCCATGAACCCGATTACCAAACCCTTGGCGAGTGTTGTTATTAAACCCACACTAAACCCTAAACCTGCGTAAGGAAAGAGCAAAGTGAAGTGACGCACGGCACTAGTAAGTAATATGAACGAAACCCGCGCTCTTAATATTAGAACGAAGAAGAAGAGAAAAGAGCGCGGTAAAGAACAATGTTTGCGGCATTTTTTGTAGTATATCATAAGTGCCCCGCGTACACACTACTAATATAATCTTTGTAATCCCTTCACTAAACCCTAAGGCCAGTGTGAGCATGAAGGGGCGTTTCATAGGGTTATCAAGAGCTGTACAGTTTGAGGCTTGCTATACGCCCTAACCTATAAGTCTTGTGTTCTTGGGGGTTCAATTTCGAGGGTTTAGATTCTTTAGGGTTCAGGGATGTAGGGTTTAGGGCTAAGGGCTCGAAACGGTTCAGGGGCTTCGGGTTCTTTAGGGTTCGGGTGAGGGTTTAGGGTTGAGGGTTTAGGACTTAGGGCTTAGGGTTTAGGGTTTAGGGCTCTCTGGGGCTCAGGGTTTGAGACATCTTTCGGCTTGCCCTGAGCCCGGAGACCCCCACGCTGGAGGAGGATGGTGCCCTCCGCCGCCTCTTGGCCCTACTGATGCAGGGTCTCTTTGTGCGTGGGGCGTTTCCGCGTTTAGGGTTTATGGTTTAGTGTTTAGCGTTCACAAAAATTATGGTCAGAGGTTGAGGGCGTTCAGGGTTTTGGGTTTCATTTATAAGCCCTAAACATCCCAAAGCCCGAAACTTCTTGAACCAACGCCCGGAAGCTTCAGAGGAGACCTACCCTAAACCCTAAACCCCAAACCCCAAACCCCGAACCCGAAACCCTAAACCCCATGCTGCACCTTGAACCTCAATGGCTGAGGGCTCGTTCCATTTCAGCCCGATGGGAGCAGCGGTGGCAAGGAGGACTTCGGGAAGCTTCGAGGGATCGTTCCCCGCCCTCGGCATGGGGATGTTGCATGTTTAAGTTTACGTCAGCTTGTCTCCTCGCCCACCGAGCCAGTGCTCTGCCCCTGAGAATTAGGCAAAGGGGTTTAGGGTTTGGGGTTTAGGGTTTAGGGTTTGGGTTTAGGGTTTAGGGTTTAGGGTTTATAGGGTTTAGGGTTTAGGGTTTAGGGTTTAGGGTTTAGGGTTTAGGGTCCAGGGTCCAGGGTCTAGGGTTTAGGGTTTAGGGTTTCGGGTTTAGGGTTTAGGGTTTAGGGTGGTTTAGGTTTTAGGGTTTAGGGTTTAGGGTTTAGGTTTAGGGTTTGGGGTTTGGGGTTTGGGGTTCAGGGTTT